CTCCTGAAGAGGATTATTTTCTAGTATATTCACTTTTATGCTCATTGTATTTTATGGTTGCCAAACTGGTCCTTTGCAGCTGCACACCTACCTGGGCGAACTGGTATCCAATGTTTGCATCACTGGCAAAAGGTTTTAAATCCTGATGTTATAAAGGGTTCATGGACAAAGGAGGTGCACTTCTACTACACTCTTGTTGTAATTCCTTTGTGTACTAATGTGAGTTTTTTAGAATTGATTGTGATTGTGATCTGCTTCTCCAATTAATGTTTTAGGAGGATGATTGCCTCATTGACCTTGTCGGAAATTATGGTCTGAAGAAATGGTCCTATATTGCACAATTTTTACCAGGTCGTATTGGGAAGCAATGCCGAGAGAGGTAGGCAATAATTGTTCTTAGTAAGTACAATTATGTGTGTGCCATAGACTGGACCTTTTCTTCTTATTAATCCATGTAGTTTTTTAAGTTACAACATCATTCAAATTTGATATATTTGCGTCTAACTAACTGTCTGGTCAAGAAGATACTTGAATTGGTTACACTATCTTGTATTACTATGTTAGATAACCTCAGGTTTTGTATTGATAATATATGTGGCAGATCCCTGTAAAACGTTGCAAGAAAATTAACACTCTGTTATCATTTCAGGTGGCACAATCACCTAGATCCAACTATTAAGAAGGAAGCATGGGCGGAGGAGGAGGAAGCAGTACTTGCCTACTATTACCAATTATATGGCAGTAAATGGGCAGAAATTGCAAAGGTTCTTCCTGGAAGGTACTTCTTTTCAACCTACAGCCTGACGACATTTTATCCAAAACATGCAAAAATTTAATCTCAACACCTTTTTTATCACTACTTATTACACTTGAATCATAATCTTTAATATCTTTGGGGTGGTATATATGTTCCTGTTACTAATTACTCTTGATCTTTGTATGCTTGGGTTGCCCAGGAGTGACAATGCTATAAAAAATCATTGGAACTCAATGAAGAAGAAATTGGACGCATCGTCACCTTCTGGATGTGACATAAGCTTTGCCACTTCTGGAATAAAGCCAGCACATGTTTTGGCTAAAAAAGAACGTCAAAGTTTCAATGAAATGGTTTCTCTTAAACAGAGTCACTTGTTGAAGGACAGTGTTAACAACTCTCCTAATACTTCAGCAGGGGAATTCCCCTCTGAGAAAAGCTGTCTTGAGGAGGGAACTCCAAGTGCCTCAATTAAATATATGGAATTATGGGATACTCTGGATATGTATGCTACAAATTTAGATTATTACCCTCTTGCAACTGATGTTGCTTATGAGGACATTGAATCTCCCAAACGGCAAAAAGTTTCTTCTTTGGAGACGAAGTTTCTTGCCGATGCTGAACGTTACAATCAAATTAGAAAGGGAAGCAACAACAAGATTAAGAGTATGCCACATTATGCTGATGACATAAGAGGCTTCAGCCCAGTGTCTGTACTAAGAAGCTTAGCAATGACATACGAAAATATGCCTTCAATCATAAGGAAAAGAAGTCCCAGGAAGGCAGGCAGTGCAGAGTACCGTGACAGCGCCCAAACACCTTTGTCAATGATCGTTTCAACTCCTGAATCTGAACGTGTTTTCAATTATTAGCTTCCAAGTTTATCTCATTTCTTCATATTGACCAATCATTGAAGAAATTTTAATACTTCTAATGCCTTTGTTTCAACGTATTGTGCACGTGTTGGAATGACAATCTCTTGCAATAGGTGTTGATATAATGTGGATCTTTTGAATAGATATCTTTTTAATTGTTCTAGACTTCTAATAAAGTTATTAACGAATGTGCTTTCAGCTAAGTTGCTTATCTAATGAATGAAGGAAAGCTAAATTTGTAATTGCATCTTTGAAAGTATCCAACTATTTAATGGTCCACATCATTTGTCTCCAAAGCATTAATCAACACCTTGCAATCAGTTTGAATAATGATATTTTGACACCTCTTATCTCTTGCTATAGCTTCAAACCTTAGTCAACAAAAATGGGGGAAAGTTCTATATAATGCATTCAATATGGAAGAATGTAATACTTCTATCATATGTTTTTGTGGCATTTAAGTTGTCATGTACTTGTAATTGCAAAAAGTTCGTCTAAATCTTCTTTATCCATTTGAAAGAAAAACTTGCTTTTACTTTTAGAGTGAGAAATATTTTTCCCTATAAATAACTTGAACATTTGTGTTACTATTTAGAGGTGAATTCATTCATCTTGTACGATAGTATTATCTATAACTACTAAAATCAAATACATAACGAATCAATCAACAAAAAATAAGGATGAAAACTCCTTAGTCGGATTGATGATCTCATAATCTAGCTCTATTTAGAAGAATGAAACATCTAGAAAGGAAAGTGGGAGAAGGTTCTAAAAAAGTGGATTACCAAACTAACGGCTGTGATTAAGCCAAATCCAATGTCTAAATTGTGTCGTTTTCTTCTTCACTTCTATTCTTAATCTTATCCTTTTATTATTCTACTCATCTCCACCGTGGAACCCACACGAGGGTGTTGCTTTTTCTCTATCACATTCTAGTCTCATCTAGAAACTTCCAGAAACAACAAAAGATACCCAAAGCTCAACTTGTTCATTCTCTCACAAACTGTTACCCTTCTCATCAATACCCTAACACACAAAACAATCTATTGTTTCGTGAATCGTCAAGGTGGAGCGTCCAGATCTGGACTCAAATTCGGTGGCTCCATCATCGATGGAGCAAACTGGGGAATCAGATTTGCAGAGATTCCTTCCGACACCGTTTTTGACCAAAACCTATCAGCTTGTTGATGATCCTTCTGCGAATGACCTAATTTCATGGAATGAAGATGGAACAACCTTCATAGTTTGGAAACCCGCTGAATTCGCTCGAGATTTGCTTCCTAATTATTTCAAACACAACAACTTCTCAAGTTTCGTTCGCCAGCTTAATACATATGTAATTACTTACTTGTTTTTTTTTCTGTTTTCTTTTTTATTCTATAATTTTTCTCCACAACCAAACACGGTTTTGTGCCTTATTTACAGGGATTTCGGAAAGTTGTACCTGACCGTTGGGAATTCGCTCATGATTGTTTCCGTCGCGGCGAGAGAGGTCTACTGAGAGAAATTAAGCGCCGGAAAATATCACCGGCGGCAGCAATCGCAGCCAACACGGTGACTGTTGCAGTGGCGGCGCCCGCACTGGCGAGAACGGTGTCGCCAACAACTTCCGGCGAAGAACAGGTACTCTCCGCAAACTCATGTCCGAATATTACAGTGCAGCAGAGCACAACGAGTTGCACGAATATACCCGAACTATTAGAAGAGAACGAGAGGCTTAGGAAAGAAAACATGCAAATGAGTAACGAGTTGATTCAATTGAAGAGTTTGTATAATAACATATTCGGTTTGATGTCAAATTATGCTTCTTCTCGTTCTGCTCAATTTCACTCATCTATTAGCGCTGCTGTACCTGAAGGGAAATCATTGGATCTTATGCCTCCAACAAAGTATGCGACACCGTTTAAGGCAGGAGATGGAGAAGTTCCGAAATTGTTTGGGGTTTCAATTGGTATGAAGAGAGGACATAGGACAGAAAGTGAGGGTGAAACAGAGAAAGAATATCAAACACAGTTGTCGCATGAAGCAGATGGCGGGTCAGATGTGAAATCTGAACCGCATGATGGGGATAACTCTGGTGATCAGGTTAAGGAAACTCGTTGGTTGGAGCTTGGAAAATAATAATCTTAACATCATAGAGTTTATCATTAGGCTTAGTTAGTTGTTGATGTTGTACGATCAGCAAGTATCTATGAGCGGGTCATGGAATGGGATGCTCAAAAAGCACTTTACACTTTACATTATTTTAGATTTTCTCTTTATTATTATTGTTTTTAGTTGTCCCTAAGAGTGGTTAAAGAAAGATAGATAATCAACCACATGTAGGATCGGCAATGCCGTGCAATGTCCATTTAAATTAGGCATGCCTGCTTGTAGCAAAAAAGATGAAATGCAATACCATGTAAGTCCTAAATATGAGGTATTCCGTGATAAATTATTTAAAAAGCTATGTTGAAATCCCTTATACAGGTGTAATATCAATCCATCTTCTGCATTATTTGGAATAGGATATGGGCATGCTAACTAAATAGACTGAAGTGGGATAGAGTAATGATGCAGAGGCAAAAATGATAATTTTAGCAAAAGCTATATCAACCTCAGCCAACCACATTTATGGAGCATGTTTAGCATAATTTATTTTATATGCTTGAAATCGTAAGTCCAAATGAGTACACATTTCCAACTTTTCACTACTATTTGATTGAGATAGTTGAGAAACTTGAAGCTAAAGAGCAGGGTAAGGAAATAAATGTAAAGATGAGTGGCCCATTTGAAAATGTGCAGAGTAAAGTTGAAAATAATTAGATCTATGTGCTCTTAGCCACCCACCAACCATACAATGCTCATTCAAATCTACGTACCATCTATAAAAATTCTATCGATTCCTGGCTACAATCAAATCTACTTATGCAATTGCGTTATTTAAGTTTTAGCCGTACAGCGCAAAATAGTAAAGAATCATGAACTTCGTTACTCTTTCTTTCTCTTTTTCGTTTTTTGTCAATTGATGCAGAAAATTCGATTTTTATTATAAAAATTCCGAAACTGCCAAAAAGTATTTTGTTTTGGAATTATATTAACAAGTACTAATGGTAAGCTTTGTGCAATACATTCTAAGGTCACTCTTCTTCTTTTAGTCATTGAATAACAGTTTATTTTCTCTTAAACATTTATCGTTTTATTTTCTTAGTCAGTCATGAGGAAGAAGATAAGGGTTTACTTGAGGAAAAGGGTGAAGAAGTAGAAAGATGGGTGATGAGTAAGTTGAAGAAAGTGAAGGAGACTTCAGAAGTGATTGCTGGTCCAAAGTGGAAGAGAGAATTGGGAGAGTAAGAAGAAACCCATTTAATTTAAAAAAATATATTATGAAATAAATAAATAAATACCACTGGCTTCGCCCGGGTTCGAACCGGAGACCTTCAGTGTGTTAGACTGACGTGATAACCAACTACACCACGAAACCATGATGCTTATCTGATAATAGTATATCTCTGTGATGTCTTTGACTACTTTGTAATTTATGTTTACACCCATTTTGTTTTTGAAGCATATTATACATACACGTCACTTGAAGTTCAAAATATCTGTAGATCATATATGAGCATTGAACACATGTTTTATTTTTGCAAATATTTGACATAGAAAAACAAAGAACGGAAAGAAGATACCTTTGATGAGTGGCACAACCCCACCTTCCTTTAACCACAAAAAAACTCTCATAAAGAATGGATCGAGACGCATTAGTAATAATTGAAAATGAAATGAGGAGGATAAAAAAGTCTTATAATATAGATGTTTTTCTCTCAATTAAACGAGAACTTGAGAAATAATTAATGAAATGGAGGAAAAATAAAAATAAAAGTGCCATTTACTTGACGAATAAGTGGAGTAAGCAACACTTTCCATTCCACCTTCATTTTTAAGACCAAAACTCTCTCTCTCTCTCTCTCAGAAAAAAGATCTGTGTAGTGAAATTGAGTGTTGGTAGAATTGTGATTTGAATGGCGAGTGTTAATCGAGACACAATTGAGACATTCATGAGCATCACCGCCTTATCTGAACCAATCGCAATACAAAAGCTCCAGGTTCACTTTCCTTTTTCCTTTCTTCTTTCTTTCATTCTTATCACCATTCTATTCTATTCTATTCTAACCAATCCACTTCTTATACTTAGGGTTTTCTGCATTCCCTTTTTTATTTATTTTTTGTTCTTCATTCATTTCTATAAACTCCTGATTTTGGATTATCTATATATTTCTCTCTGTAAACCTCATAAATGAGATTCGCTCATTACACAGCCATGGTTATTATTGCCTGATTTTTTTACGGTGAAATTCGTTATTAGTGAATAATATTTTTTTTAGTTCTATAATGTATTAGATTCTTTTGGAGTCACTGTGATTTTCAGTTAGGAACTTAGGGTCACTGCTAGTATGTTTCTTGATTCTGGTAGGAGTTTGCTTATAGGAAAATATTTCATGACCGACTATGCTTGATCAGTACTTTGTGATGTAAAATGTCAAACTCTGTTGTATGAATTACATTGCTCTTGCATATATTATGACATTGCAATTCAAACAGACGGTCATCTATCCTTGCAATTTTTGACCTTTTCATTAGACATGAATGAGCTTGGGTACTTATTCTTGCTTAGATTTGTAGTTATGTAAGATCACCGGCACGTTGTAACGTTGTATGTGTTTTTAGCTTCTAAATTCGACTACACTTTAGTATCTCATAAGACTAATATCTTGTAGAACCAGTTCTGTAGATTTCGTGGCTAGAAATTTTACCCATTTATCAATAATGTATGGTAAACTGTTTGCACCGTAGCCTGGTGGCTATTGAGCATGTCTAATGGGTTTGATGCACGGATTTGAATCTGAGGCACAACGTTTGTAGGGTGAGCCTCACCGCAACGGTAAGGTTGCTTTCCTTGTGACATGGAATTCATGTGTTCTAAATCCTAGAAACAACCTTCCTGTTTGTGGGGTAAGGTCATGTACATATACCTTCCCCAGTCCTTACTAGGTGGCTGCCTCATGTACTCGGCCGCCCTTTTGTCAATGATGTAAGGTAGTTGTTTATGTCTTTCCTCATCATCTGTAAATATTATTCTTGTCAGGAGCACAGGGGTAATCTTAATGAAGCTGTCAATGCACATTTTAGTGAAGGAGACAGAAATTTGTCAACCAGGTGCACAATCTTTGCGCTCTTAATAGTAGTTTCAAAAGTCTCCCTTGTTAAACTAGTATTACTCTGACTTATACATCACTACATGCTCCTGTTAATTCTTATGATATTGATATCTTAATTCATTCCTTCATGGCCAGTGTGAACAATACCACTGTTGCTGTTCCAGAAGATGATTTCATGGATATCGACGATGAACTTCATGCAGAAATCCACAGACCTCAATCACTTTTGTCTTCAGACAGAAACAATCCATTTTCTCTTCTTGAGTCAACAATTGGCAGAGGTATATTTGACTCACATTCTCATCTATCAAACCAACCACCATTTGTTACGCATCCAAGAGAGGTAAGGGAGATTCCCATTGAGGTTAAGGATGATAGTCAATCCACTCCTCAAGCTAACCAGCATGCCCCAACTATTGAAGATGTCACCGAAACAGTTCATGCCGATGGTCCAGATATTCATGGGACTATCATAATCGATGAAGATGATGATAATACTCCACCTGTCCAGACTGAAAGACCCAGTGCTCCTGATTTTGAGAATTTACCAGATTACAGCAATGACATAGAAGAAGAAATGATCCGTGCAGCTATTGAGGCTTCTAAACGGGAAGCTGAGGAAAATTATCCAAACCACAATCCTGGCAAACGAATTGTATGTTTCTTTCCTGTTGGATTTCTCATGATCTAGTTCACTGAATGTTTGCCTTAGTATTTATTTTCCACCTGGTGCAGGATTTAAGTGAATCTGGGCTCCAGCCCAGGCAATCATATTTGGAGGATCCAGAGCTTGCTCATGCAGTTTCTTTGTCACTGAAGGTACACTTCATTATGTTTATTTTTATCTCTTCTCTTGTCAAATTTTTATAACCTGTCTTGTTGAGCGCATCCACCATATTGTTTTACCACAAGAATAATTGGTGCCTTCACTTTGCTTTTTATTGATAATGGAAATTTGGAATATTGATTGCTTGTTGCTTCTAAATGAAATGAATCCAGACAGCTGAGCAAGAGAAGGCAGTGTACATTCAAGGAGATGTTGGAGCACCAGCAGTAGGGCCCTCTAAGTCATCTGAGGTGGGATTAGGAGAAGTGGCACCCAACAGAAGGTATGTTCTCTTTATAATTGTTGTCACTGTTGTGGTTTGCTGCATTGGCTGCACTGTTGAGGCAAAATTGTGGTAATTCTAGGCTGCAGACAGGAAGCTCGTCCTTCCAAGATGAAGGTGAAGACTTAGAAGAGCAACTGCTGGTTAGGAACAGGCCTAGACTTGCATCTTTGGACTCCACAGAATCAGCCAACAATGTTGAAGTTATCGAGACTAGCACACTGCCAAGCACAGGACCTCAGGATGATAGCAATCCTCCTCAGCGTGATCAAAATTCCTTCCCGGATGAGGTATGGTTCTTCACTTACGAGTTTTTGAAAGAAATTATTTTTTTTACCATAGCATCTTATATTGCTCAAGCTGCCTGATATTCAATTTTTTTTCTAAAATGAAATTGAAGTGGGGTGGCATTTCTTCTGAGGAGCACGATGAAGCAGTTATGCTTGAGGCTGCAATGTTTGGTGGAATTCCAGAAGGGAGTGGGCACAACTATGCTTACTTACCACATGAGTTCGTGCAGAGTAGGGGTATCTATCCTCAGCCAACACCCCGTCCACCTTCACCATCATTGACAGCTCAGCGCTTGATAAGGGAACAGCAGGTGTGACTTATTTCTTATATAGAAGCTGGAATTGTGGGATATGGCCTAACTGCATCTATTGCTGTCTTATTTTCATGTAATGCAGGATGATGAATATCTTGCAGCGTTACAAGCAGACAGAGAAAAGGAACTGAAAGCTATAGAAGAAGCTGAGGCTGCTCGTGAAGAGGAAAGGCGGAGAGAGGAAGAATCTCGCAGGAAATTACAGGAAGAGCAGGTAATACATTTCGGGCTATCTGTTAATAAAAAACAGTTGCCCCGCCGTTCAATTTTACTTATGACTCTTTTGGTTTGTGAGAATATTTTCTGTTTTTGTTGTTGTTGCTTTCATTACTAATTGCAAAAATTTCACCTTGTATTCATTCTACTTTTTGTTTTCAAAGATTTGTACCAGAAATGGTGAACAATGAAAACAGAAAATGGAAACAATGTCGCAGTTTTGCAATTATTAATAAAAACAAAATGAAAAAGGAAAACATTTTTGCAAACCAAACAAACACTCATATCTCCATTGGCATGCATTTCTAAAAGGAGGGATTGGGTGTTATTCAACAAGCAGTTAGATGTTTTGCTGGGTGGATTACGTTAATGTCCACCAGCTATATTTTTCACGTGTCCATCACGTTTGCATTTTTCTTACATTTCATGTTGTAGTGATTTCTTTTCATGATTTTTATCCTGGATATAAATATTGGCTTATGCATAACCTTGCTTTCCTGAAGGATAGTTCCTATTTCCAAATTGATTCTTATTCTTGCATTTTGCATTATTCTGTGTCAGGAATTGGAGACACAGTTAGCAGCAAAAGAAGCCTTTCTACCGCCTGAACCATCCTCTGATGGTGAGAATGTCGTGAACTTACTCGTAAGAATGCCAGATGGCAGCCGTCGTGGACGCCGATTCCTTAGATCTGATAAACTACAAGTAAATAACCTGCTAGGAACTGTTATTTTCCTACCCTATTTTGGTGAATATTTTTACTAAACCTGATTCTGGTATTTTTTCAGTCTCTTTTCGACTTCATAGATATCGGTAGGGTGGTGAAACCAGGCAGTTACAGACTGGTGAGTGAACCTGTTGCATTTTGGTTTGCCTCATGTTAATGAGTGTCCTAAGGGCACTTGTTAAGGAATTCAAACTTAGAAACTGTGCATTGGAAAGTATAAGAATTTGCCTCGGTTTGCCTCGACGTCCTGGATGTAGCACTTTCCAATACACATTGTCTATTTCGAATTCCTTAACAAGTGTTCTTAGTATACTCAATAACATTCCCTTTCGGCTGATTCATGTTATCAAAATTCTTCCCCTTAACGTGTACTCTCATTGTGACACATGTTTTTTCTTGGACAGGTGAGACCGTATCCTAGGCGTGCTTTTAGTTATGAAGAAAGTAAATCGACTCTAGAAGAACTTGGTCTGACCAACAAGCAAGAAGCCTTGTTTTTAGAGTTAATCTAAATGCCCTGATGCAGATTTCTAGAGATCACTTGATTGAAGTTTAGTTTACTAAATTATGAATCCATTCGGACGTTGAAATGGGATTTCAATTTGGTTTG